GGGTGCTTGCAGGGAGAGGCTTGGGAGGGCAGAGCCCGCTCACATGCGCTTGCCGCCTCCTCACGGGCCCCCGGCTGCTTTCGGGCTGGGCCCTTGCTGCTCGCAGCGTCGCGTAGCGCTGGGGCAGAGTCCTGCCCGGCCCAGGGCTCCCGAAGGCTGTGGCGGTGAGGCTTGCGTGGTTGGTGCTTGCCGTTCGCGTGCCTGCTGTGCCTCTTTACTTTTACGACGCTACATTTCGCTCACATGCGCTTGCCGCCTCCTCACGGGCCCCCGGCTGCTTTCGGGCTGGGCCCTTGCTGCTCGCAGCGTCGCGTAGCGCTGGGGCAGAGTCCTGCCCGGCCCAGGGCTCCCGAAGGCTGTGGCGGTGAGGCTTGCGTGGTTGGTGCTTGCCGTTCGCGTGCCTGCTGTGCCTCTTTACTTTTACGACGCTACATTTAGCGAACAGGGCACTTTTTTGTTTGTTCGGTGTGCCAGACCCTTTCTGTGCAATGAACGTCGCAACCCGGAATTGACACCGTGTGGAGTTCAAATTTAAAACCCGCCCTTATGGGGAATGCAATCTGGCAAGCTGCGAAAGGGAGATTTCCAAGTTTCCTGATTAAAAACAGTTTAGAGACAATTGTTGACTACTAAAAGCAATCTGTTTTTTATATAATAAATAAAGATTTTGGTGCTTCGTGATACAAACACGAACCTGAGTGGAATTACAAGCAGATGGTTGGTGGTGAGGTTCTGAGTTTTTGTTTTTCTGGATAAACCTACTTTATTTTTTTAAATCGCTGCTGAAGAATATTCTAGTAATGCTGCTTTTGCTTTTATTCCCACAGCAGAAAGATGTCCTGAAATAAAGAGTAAGTTAAAGTTTATTTTGTACTAAGGTGCACAAAGTTGTTAAGAAAGTTCCAGGCCTTTACTTACATGCTAACGATGTAAAGCAGTTAAATACAGGACTGTTAGTCGAAAATAACCTGTAACAATTGCATCTTAAAAAGAGAAGTAAAAACTAATTTAAACTAACTTTACGTACCATTAAGTTAACAGAGCTGATGCCCCTTATAAATGAAGGGGGAAATGTACAACTGTTGGTTCAAGATGAAACAATGACTGCGTTTTAAGTAATCAAATACCAAAGTTGTTGGCTGTTGATGATGATAACCCTGAATAGGAAGTGCCGTCAGATGCGAGAACTGACGATAACCTTCTTATTTGTCTGAAATACAGCTACATGCACGCAGAGTGTGAGTTCTAGAAATTTGTCTTCTAGAACTAATCGGGCAACTTTTATGTACACTTGCTTTCTGTGAAGAGTGCTCTTGTAATATCTAACATAGCTTCACGTCCGTCTGTTTGGCTTTATCTGCAGAGCCTGGTCTTCCCAGATCAATGTGACAGATTAGGACTGGCAGCGGGTCGCTCTTTGGAGGCGGCCCTAATGTGAAGGTAAGTGGGGAATTTCACTGGACCGTGTCGAGCTTTATACCCAGTGGAATCGAAGTTGAGAATAAATCAGGCTGCCAAAAACTTGAGAGGCACATTTTGTACATTCAAACTTTCTAGCTCAAATCAATCTGCTTTCCCTCCTCTCTTCCTCAAAATTCAAAGCCCCGTGATACTTCATTTCCTG